TCACCCGTGAGTTAGCTTACTACACTTTTATTCTGCCCTGCTGGCTGCACAAAGAATCTCTGTGGCCAAAGCAGTACACATATGCTGAGCTTTATTTATGTAGTTATTTATTTAATTTTAAGGGTTGAAGTAGCCAAAACTTGTTCAAATCTTGCTATTTGATACCATCTCTTAGCTCTGCTCAGAAGTGTTAAGAGGTTGGGGTTTTTTTCACCTAGCTGTTTTCAACACTTTCCTTAGCCCAGCGTAATGAATGTATTTATAGAAAGATGGGCTAATACATAATAAATTCCCTTTGTTATCACACATCAAAGTCTTCTGCCAGGTTGCAAAGGGTATATATAACTTCATTCATCTGCTAGTTTCTATATGATTTTGCAGTTGCATCTAATTTTGCTGTGAGGTGAGTCACTATCACTATTTTTCTTGCAAACAGAGTTGCTGATATGCAACAATTTCCAGTACTCAGAACCAAGCTCACCATTCTCCAGTGTGCGTTGTTACTCCCTAGACTTGGATGGACCAACAATGGGTGAGCAACAGTTCTGGTGACAATTAACTTCTGTAACCTAGTCTCATCACTAACGATAGCTAGGATCCTGCTGTCCATTTTCTCCATTGCAGCTCCACTGCAGCACTTTGCATTCTTACTTCTTATTACTCTTAACCAGCACTTAATGAGCACTTTTTATGTTTCATGTTCAAACTGAGGGCCCCTCAAATATAACCAAATTCCACCTTTGTAAAAAACATCATCATGTGGCTGTCTTCACCTCATAGCATTCAGAAAAATGTTTCCATTTTTGACCTGTAACTCCAGCATGTCTGATAACTGCAGCTGTGGTATCTTACTCACACTTCATTGTATGGTTTCAAACAGTAAAAAGTTACTAAAATGGCAAAACTAGTCTTCTGTACTTAGAGGTGATCACTGACACTCAAGTAATTATGCATTTCTACAGATTTCAACTTACACTTCAAACCTCAAATATGCGTGTATTGTAAATTGCACAGCATTCACCAGCGCTATGCACCAAGGAACAGATGAGCACTGGAACTAGACTGAAACAGAGGCATTACATTCTCACTGGAGTCATCATTTAATAAATCCAATTAATTTGTACCACCACATTAACCCCCAACTTAATGCAATTTTCTGCACATCTTTTGCCTCCCACCAGTCAGACAACAGCAACATGCCCCTGTGTTTAGGAAATGCGGACATAATCACTAAAACAAGGTCTGCTGTATACCAAACACTTTCACTGCTTAAATTTAATTTTTAAGCAACTAATGATGCATTTATTTTTGGTGGCTATCTTGGAGAAAGAAGGGAACAACAGCAGCAAGATGACTAGAAAACAAAGGTGAAGGAAATAGGAAAAGCCTCAAGAAACAAGAGAACAACTTATTAAAAAGTTCTGATCTTTTAAAATCCTTAAACATTTAAAAATTATTATTCTCAAGATAGCAATTTAGGTATAAGCAATTGAAGCATTTTAAATCTGCTTATTAACAAAGTTTGAAAATCAGCACATTTCAGTAAAACAATCTGCATACAATCATGCCTGTGCCTTAACTTCTTCCATGTAGTTCTTTAGTCCATGAAAACATCGGGGAACTTATTATTGCAAATGCTGATTACTGTTTGCTAGCAATTCTTGGTGTGTAGCTTGACCATGGAAATCTAAGGGTGGATCAAAATTATACCTATAGTCTTTCACCAATAAAATATTCTATCTGAACAGTGATAAATACGAATTCTGTTACCATCAAGTGTTCCACAACATCAGCTATTTATCGAACATATATATAGAACACATGTTCCTTTTCCAGGTTAAGTGAAGGTGGCCCATCCACCTTTGCCAAGACCGGTTGTGATTGTCTTTAGCAGGTAATTTGGTGTGACACATCATGATACCGAGCCCTTGAGTCCCAACACACTACCATGCACTGCCTGTTCTGCCTCTCACCCAAGCTTTTGTCGCGCTCAGCCTTTGCGTGGGACAGGGGCCCCCCCACCTTTCTTACAGATCTCTTTATTTACAATCACTCAGTAATAGAGAGTTCATACCCAACCCGGACACCTGACGCAGGTTACAATACCTGAGGGATTTAAGTCCATGGTCATTTGTTCCCAGTGGGCTCCTCTCCTGCTCTCTGCCCAAGTATTCAGTCCCCACACGGCATCTTGACTCGTCCAGGACCTTCGGATGGCAGGCTGGTGTTGGAGTCCAGGATGCAGTCAATGGCAACGGTTTGTACAGGGCCAGAGCCCCGACTGGTGGAAGTTCCCTGTCCTCTCCACTCTCAGCCCCTCCTCTGGCATGGGCTGATGGTATAGCCTCTGAGATTCGTCAAGGTTGGAACCTTATATACCTCAGGAAATGGCCATGCAAGGGTGAGTCAAAGCCTGACAACCTCACCCTCTGAGATTGTCAGTCTGTGCCCAACATTAACCCGTGAGCGTAGGCCCTGGGCAATGGGTTGGACGACCCCGATGCCATGATTTTGTTTCACCAATTAGGAATACTATCAGATGGTCAGTGTTAAAGGCCGCTTAAATACTCCCAGATTTTAAACCTAAAGGCTGCATACAAAGGTGAGGGGTATCATAGTCTGTTCAGATTCTGTAACCAAAGTTCATGTTCACCATTGACACCAAGGCAAAAATCTACTCACTATGAACACGATAAACACAGCTGAAGCTAGCTTATAAAAAAAAAAAATATTATCCTGGACAAAGTTAAAACAAAAATTTTAAGATCTTTCAGCAATTAATTGCACAGAACAGCCATTTCACTATATTGTTATGTGAAAGAACAGAAAAAGTCCAAACCACTGAAAAATGATGACAGGAAGTCAAAACCATCTCTCAGATTATCATGAAGTGCTGGTGTTACATCACCTTTTTTATCCTCTCTCTTTAGCATCAGTCTAACATGGACTTACTGTAATGCACTGCGTTTCAATTCTTTCTCTTGTATTCCCCCCAACACCTACTATGACATTCTTTGGTAATCAACAAGAGCCTTGCTCCAAAAGAAACCCAATTTTGAATGGCGCCAGTGTAAAAAATTACTGCCATTTCCTGTCTTCAGCTATAATCATAGAACTACAGAATCACAGAACAGCCTAGGTTGGAAAGGACCTTGAAAGATCATCTAATCCAACCTTTTGTGGGAAACGGAGCCTAAATGAGATTAGCCAGCACCCTGTCCAGTCCCATCCTGAAAACCTCCTGTGATGGGGACTCCACCACATCCCTGGGGAGGTTCTCCATGTGGCTGCTTATGAAGAGAGAGCCTCTGTCATCTTTGTAGCGGCCCTTTAAGTACTGGCAAACTGTGATGAGGTCTTCCCAAGCCTTCTCTTCTCCAGGGAGAAGAGACCTGAATCCTTCAGTCTTTCCTCACAAGGGAGGTTCTCCAGCCCATTGGTCATCTTCGTGACCCACCTTTGGACCTTCTCCAGTCTGTCCTTGTCTTTCTTGACTTGTGGGGACCAGAACTGGCCACAGTCTGACAAATGCTGAGTGTGATCATCCCCAAAATGTTCTCATGTTTGGCCTGCATCAAATATAAGTTAACCAGCAGATTATACATTTCCAATTCTACTTCAGTTTTTCCTCCAATACTTACTGGTTTTTGCCAACGCTGGATCTCCTGTTGGAAAATGCAGCTTGGTTATCCAAAGAGCATGAAAATTCAGGTGGAATAGCAGGGGTAAATACAGAAACATTACCAATGTAACATGGTAGGCAAAATTGCAGTATTTTCTTCCATTAAGGTCTTTCAAAGCTGAGGCATATTTCATCTGGACTGAAGAGTTTGTTGGTACATCAGAAATGCTATATCAAGGCACAGCAGAACTATCTCGCCAATGTCTAGTTTCCAACAGCAGTTTTCCGTATCTGCTACCTAAGTGTTAGGAATTGGTCATGTAGAGAACTATCCTTCCCTGACAGATACTTCCAGTGATCTGCAGCTCAGCTGATTTACTAGTTTCTGTGAATTCTATTATGCATATTTTGCAATGACCTGCCACACACTGGGCAGGAAACTAAAACCTGAAACACTAATCAACAGCAAGACAAGAGTAAGTCCATTACCTTATTAGCATGAAAACTGCCAAAGAACATAAAAAAACATAAAAAACCAAGCAATGTTATCCAGACTCTTCCTTTTATTAAGACACTGAAACAGTTAAATGTACAAATGCTTTGTGTTAGTTGTAAATATCTCCTCTGTTTAAACAGCATTTACAGCTCATGTACATTTCTTGAGTATCTTAAGATGTAAGACACTTTCGCGGTAGCAACTTCATAGATCAGTGAATGCCAACACTCCACAACCCTGTTTAAAATAATAAAGTCCAGATGGAGTGACAGAAAGGAGACAGTAGACCATTCTGTGCAGTGACTGTGATCGTATTTCAAAAGTGAAGAGAAAAAAAAAAAATATCAAAGTTATTCAGCCATACCTCTCTTTCTTTCCTAATACTCTCCTTATGCATTTCACCTCCTATTGAAAAATGATTACTATAATAAACAGAAAAGGCATCTGTAGGTTTTCCTATAAAAATAACGAATTATTTTAAAATATTCAAGGCAAATAGGTGTTTAAAAAGAGAAAAAATGTATATATCATGTAGATGTGTTTCTTCAAGTCAAAATACCTCCAAAGTATAAATTCTTTCCAGTCCCCATACACTGCAAACAGTTGCTTTCATCAGGACAATTTCAATAAATGGCCATCTTATTACAGTTAAAATGCATTTCTTCTCAACCACCAGATACTAATCTTCAGTAAAGAAAAATTAACATTTATTTTTGATTGCCATTTAGTATCCCAATACTTAGCAGGTCAAAACACATAAATTAGTTGAATTAAAATTTAAGAATCCAGATACTTATTTTCAGTACAAACTTTGAAGTTTGGGATAAGGCCCTTATGTGTTTGAATTCTGTCACTGT